ACCTTTTTTTAATGTCTGGATTTACTAACATTTCTTACAGTACACGGAGTCACATTTCTTATTTATTTTTTACTGTTATAGTTTCGCTTTTTTTATTTTTTTATTTTTCGTTTGTTTGCTTACTGAAAACAGATTTTTTCATGAGCACTAGACTCAATTTATCGCTTAATTGCAAAAACATTTTGTTCAAAAATAACAAGCACATTTTTAGCAATATATTTGTACTAGCTCTTTCAAACAATTGTTATTTTGTCACTTTCATTTAATTTTTGTTTCGCGCAATATCTACAGTTAGTACGTAAAAATGAATTTAGAATTTTTTTACACCAAAAAAGTGGCAGCTGTGCTCCAAAATGTTTTACTGTGTTGTTATACGTAATCAAAAGCAAATCACTAATGCTAATTATATCAAATTTCTACCATGAGATTCTAATAAACCTATATAAGAAAGTAATTTCTATCATATACCGAAAATAACTTTTATGATATGTACTGAATTTCTTTCTTTGTATTTTACTACGCAAAAATATTTTTTTTCGAGTGACCCAATTTTAATCAGAAAATTTAGCTACATACATACTTACAGACATACTTACTATGTTAACAAACGATTTTACAAGTAGCTTTGAAATTAAAAATTAAAACAACTTCATGAAACCATGAAATAATATTGCAAGTTGTATTGCCCGTTGTTTAAAATTGTTTCTAGTTGTAAGCTTAATTTAATTATTGAAACTAAAAAAAATTGCAAAGAAAAAAAATTGCAAAACTATCGTCTAGATGAGTTCAGTGAATTTTAATCAAATCATTTTATTTGTTTATTGCAATATCTACTATTTTCTTTATTTTTTTATTTGAAATACACGAAAAAAAATTCAATTATCAGTGTGTTACGACAAAATTGAGTTTTTAATTTATAAACACTTTTTTATTTAAGCATTGTGAAATTAAAATATGTTCTTACATTGTTATGACGTGATCCTAAATATTCTTTAAATCTCCAAAGTAACTTTTGGTTTCGAATAAAACAAACATTTTTTTTAATTTCTTCGTCACAATTTTTCATATTTATTATTTATTTTGCTTAAAAAACAAATATTTTTAAATTTTAACAACTGAAGAGACTGAAACTTGTTTCTAACATTTTTAGTTCTCTTTATTGAAAATGAAATGTGAAGGTTGATAACAGTTCCTGAATATTTACTGAAAGTCTAAAAGTTTTCATGTTCATGATAATAGAATCAATTATTTTTTAATTTCTTTATTATAGTTCTTTTCTGTTTTTGATGAAAAGCAAATATCTATTAAAAAAAATTTTAAAATAAAATTTAAAATAAATAAAAATAAATAAATAAAAACTTTAAGAATGAATAAATATGAGGAGTTTATTCTTATCGTTTTTTATTAAATATCTTGTGACACACTGCAATAACAAAATAATTCGTTATCTTCATTTTTTTTCGAAGCTGCATCTCATTAAGTTAGGTTTAAATAAATATTCAAGGAAAATATTAATTTTGTAGTTTCATATGTTTTAGTATTTTAGAGTATATGCGCACCCCTCTCTATTGTAACTTGTCTATCCTCAACAAGCTACATATGATATATATTTAGTAGATTTAATTAACATAAATTTCAGATTGGTGTAAAAAAATTTAAAAAATGTTTTGCGAAAAAGTAAATAATTTCAGATTATGATATCAGTAAAACTTTAAAAGGAATGAGTCATAGGGGATTATAGTCAGACGTACCTCATAAAGAAATATTTGAATTATTTATTCATTTAAATCATTTTAAAAAGCGTTCGGAGAAACTGTTCCCTTTTAAGTGTCTGTATCATTTTTCAAAGATTAAACTTTTAAAAAAGCACGCCAAAATTTGGAAACATCAGATTATGTATTAAAACGAATATACGAATATTTCCTTTCAANTAGATAGATAGATAGATAGATAGATAGATAGATAGATAGATAGATAGATGTGTTGGTTATGACTACTGCGACTTTCTAGAGTCGCTTGAAAAATTAATTTCATCCGATAGTTTTTTTGCTCTTAAATTTTATCTGGCTGCGGCATTGTAAAAACTTACTATCTCTCCAAATCTGATGTTGATCAACCCTAAAAATTATGTTACGCAATACTTGTTTTCTTTAAGTTAACTCGAATTCTTTAAAAGGATTAGATAAATTTAAAACTCTGATACTGGCAAAAGTTTATACAAATCTCACGTACTTTCACACCATACCTGAAATACTTTCTCTTCCGGAAACACCACTGTTGGCACGTTTGGTTATCGTCCGCAGATTGTTTACTTTTGAAATCTAGAGTTCAATGATACTATACATTTATGGAAGCAAAAGTTTTATGTCATGTATTTAACGTACGTTTTAAGTCATGTATTATGTTTATTTATATTTTACTTAAGTCTCTCTAAACTGAATTAACCCTCTGAATGTTAGTCCCAGCTTTTTTTGACCTCTCAGATGCTGGCTTTCCTGCATCAGAAATCCGGTTTCTCCATGCTATTGTATAGGAAAATAAGGAGTAGAAGGAAAATTTCTGTACAACTTTACCCAGGGGCTCAACGATCGGAGGGTTAAATATATTTTTAATATATAATTTTTATCCATTTCGATTCGCTTAAGCCTAATTCGAATTCGTATATTAATATTCTCTCTGTGATAAGCGTATGCTTGATTTACAACCTATTTTTTTTTTAAGAATCAGTGTGACGCATCATTAACTAACTATTATTAATTTAAATTGTATGTGAAAATAACTACACTGCTTCTTATGTTTATCATAATTACATTGTTATTGTAAATTATAGTGTTATTAAACAACAAAAAATGGTGGCAAATTACTTTATACCAAGTAGAGCAAAAGGACATCAACAGGGTGTTTTACTGCATCACTTTGATGTAAAGTAGTTGCTACTAAATTCACTGTTAAGATGCACGTAAAATTTTATTGCAGAATTTTCAAAAAAAATTGTTCTAATTAAAATTATTTATTATTTTCAAAGAGTCCTAGGCATCGCAATTTCGAGCGAGCCCTAAGACATGTAAGAGTCAAAGTTGTATGAATCGCCCATGGCCTACTTTACTTTCTAGACAAGCTTGGACCTATAGATCTAAATTTGGGTGGTCTTCAAGCCGTTACCGGGGTTTGAACACCTATCTAATATATCAACATCTGAGTACCTTTATGGCCAGAAACAATTGTGCGGATGTGTTATTGTCACCGTCATAAGCGCTTGCGGTTACATACGCGCAAAAGTCTAACTAATTTTGAAATTTCTAATTTTCAAACTAGTTGCGAGCTAGTTTGAGAACTTATTGTATGTTTATTTTCTCGTGACTTGCACTCTTGGGAGAAAAAAAAATAAATATAATATACAAAATTTTATTGAGATTTTCATTTCAATAAAAAAAATACATAATCTCTAAAAAAAAAACGAATCAAAAATGCGTAATAGTATATTAAGGAAACTCCTCAGGGGTCGTGAGATCAATGTATACAAAAATAGTATCAATGTATTCATATTTGAAGTTGATCTTCAGATCTTATACGTTTGCGGTGAAATCAGGAATCATACGGTTCTTAAAGTTTTTAAAAAAAAAACGGTGGTAAAAGTAGGAAAATACGATGTTTTTTTAATAAGTAAATATTCATCACTGAGTTAAATACTTCAAAACAAAAAATATTTCTGTGAAATACCGAGTTTCAAAGTCTTAATTTTGAAGTAAAAGCTATTAAATTTTCATTGTATCGAAACTCCTCTTTAAATTTTCTAAGGGTGAAAACACTTTGTAAATTTTGGAATACTTTTTTTTAATAGAAAAATAGATCTCTTAGTAGCAATACATGTACCCATGCTTGTTAGGCTCAGTTATAAAATAGTAGTAAATTATAAAATTAATGAATCTTGAAAGTTTGGTAAATTTCAAACTAATGTTGAGTGAAGATAACTAATCGTCTCTTATAGATATTAGTTTTTTTTCAAAAATTAAAACTTAGTATTGTACTGGGACAAAATCTTTAAAATATTATTTCAATATTCATGTAAATTGGTTCTTTTATGCAAATTTTAATTTATTTAAATTTGATGACAGGTTTTCGGATAAGTGTTCATATTAAAGATATAACTGAATAGAATTAGCATTTGATAAGTTCTAATCAAAAACTGATTCATATTATTTTTTTTCTCACCGTATGGCACGTTTATTTTAAGTGTTAGTTTAAAAACAAAATATTAATAATAAATTTAATTTCTCTTGATATACTTCTAAATTTCTACGTTCAAAATTCACATAAAAACAAAATGATTTTGTCGACAAAAGTATTTTAAAATAATGACATTTATGCTTATAAAAAACGATTAAACAGTCAAAAATATTTTTGGGGATAAAAATTTTCTTGTTTGGAAAAGAGATGTTCGTTTTAATCAGGCTACAAAATATGGATTATTAAAATACTATAAAGATCTGACTTTAATTATAAGCACCTTTTTTTGTATATTTATTTATTTTTCTCAAAACTTAAATCATAAATATCATTTTAATAAACTAAAATAGTAAATTTCTGAATTATTGCCTTTATAACACAACTTTTTCATCCTAATTTTAGGTGGTTTGTTTCGGATAATGAATCGGTTGCTAGAGACTTCCCAACATCATCAGAAGCTTTTGAAAGACTTTATGCTAATGGGATGCCTGCTATAGGACCTGTTGCCACTCCTCCTCCTGACGATAATTACATTGCAGAGTCCACCGGAACTTCGAAGATACTTCCAGATNCGAGTTTCGCCTTGAGACAAGAAAATTTACACCCATTTTCACCGGTTCTTGAATGAAAATCCCTGCATTCAGATTTGGCGCTTGTTTCCCAAATTCTACGTTTCCAGTAACCTTTTCTGAGAAAAAAGTACTCTTCACAGTGTGTGATCACAGAACAAGAGAGTGCCAAATAAATCATTATCAAGCACCCGGCGCCAATCCTTGAAAATTTCTAACGACCCGTTAAGGGTATATAAATATAAAATCTATGAACGAAATCTTATTGCATGCATTATTTAAGGCAGAAAATATCTGCGTTGAAGACAAGTATGTCTTCTGCAGTGGTGTTCTCGGTGTTATCGCTGTTTTGGCAAAGTGTTCATTGTACAGTTTTCCCACCAGTTAGTAATCCCCCACCGATTCCAGGTCAAGATTTTAGGACATTGGATATCTCGGGACAACAGTTTTATGTCCAAGATGATTTACAGGCTGGTATCCCACAAACTGTGATTAAAGAGGACAGGTTTTTTTCACCAACTTTTGAATCTAAGCCTGATGATCAGTAAGTTTATGGTTCATTTCACTTTTCTTAAATTTTGTCCCTTGGATACTATATAAATGCAGTTTAGTTATACTTTCTCTTTAATATAAAATGTGTTTCTTAAAATAATAAATAAGTATTTTCCTTTTCAAAAAGTATAGTAATTTGGAATTATATTGAAGTTACGTATACCATTAAAAAATTCTAAATGAAAGAAAGATGTTAAGACTAGGTTAAACATAGCTAAATCATTAGATGAAAACATCAAAAAAATAGTTTAAATACATTTCATTATATTTACCTGTTTTTTAGTTTCGCTTAAAAACTTATTAAATTAATAATTAACTCTAAAAATAATGCCTATACTGTAAAAAATGTCTCATATAGTTACCACCATTTTTGATGTTGGGATTTACTAACATTTCTTACAGTGCATGGAGTCGTCACATTTTTTTTACTGTTAGAGTTTTACTTTTTTATTTATTCATTTTTCGTTTATTTGCTTACTGAAAACAGATTTTTTTCATGAGCACTAGATTCAATTTATCGCATAATTGCAAAAACATTTTGTTTTAAAAAACAAACACATTTTTAGTAATATATTTGTACCAGCTCTTTCAAAAAAAATTTATTTTGTCACTTTCATATAATTTTTTTTGCGCAATAACTACAGTTCTGTACATAAAAATGAATTTAGTTTTTCTTTACTCCAAAAAATTGGCAGCTGTACTCCAAAATTTTTTACTGTATTGTGATGCGTAATCAAGAACAAATCACTAATACTAATTATATCGAATTTCTACCATGAGATTATAAAAAATTGGGTTGAAACTTGACTCACGATAGATTTAAACCTAAATAAGCAAGTAATTCTTATCAAATCCCAAAAATAACTTTCATGGTATGTACTGAACATTTTTTTTTGTATTTTATAAAGCAAAAAAAAAATTTTTTTTGTGCGACATAATTTTAATTCGAAAATTTTTTTAAATACTTACTTGCAGACATACTTACTATGTTTACAAATGATTTTGCAAGTAATTTTGAAACGAAAAATTCAAGCAACATTTTGAAACCATGAAATAATATAGCAAGTTGTATTGCCCGTTGTTTGAAATTGTTTATAGTAGTAAGTTTTAATTAATTATTGAAATAAAAAAAATTGCGACGAAAAAGAATTTGCAGAACTATCGTCTAGTTGAGTTCAATAAATTATAATCAAATCATTTTATTTGTTTATTGCAATATCCATTATTTTCGATATATTTTTATTTAAAATATACAAAAAAATTTATTATCAGTGTGTTGCGACAAATTTGAGTTTTTAATTTATAAATGATTTTCTTATTTAAGCATAGTGAAATTTAAATAAGATTTGATATTATTATAACGTGATTCTGAATATAATTTTAAATCTCTAAAGAAACTTTTAGTTTCGAAAGAAACATACAATTTTTTTTTTATTTGTTTATTACAATTTTTATCATTTATTATTTATTGTGATTTAAAAAAGCAAACATTTTGAAATTTTAAGAAATGACTGAAACATGTTTCTACGTTTTTTAGTTCTCTTTAAGAAAAACATTTTGAAAATAAAATGTGAAGTAAGATAACACTTTCTAAATATTATTTGAAAATCTAAACGTTTTTGTGTTCAGAGTAATATAATCAGATTTTTTTTAAATTTCTTTATTACATTTATTTTTTGTTATGATTTTCTCAAAAAGCAAGTATCAATTAAAAGAATATTAGAAAAAAATTTAAATTAAAAAAATAAATAAATAAATAAATAAAATTTTAAGAATTATTAAATACGCGGCCTCTATTCTTAGCGTTTTTTTATTAAATATTTTGTGACACACTGCAGTAATAAAATAATTAGTTATCTACATTTCTTTTTACTGTTGCAGGTCATTTAGTTAGTTTCAAATATATATTCAAGGAAAATATTATTTTGGTAGTTTTTGACACTTAAGTTTTATATGTTTTATTATTTTAGAGTATACAACTCTCTGTTGTAACCTGTCTATCCTTAACAAGCTACATACCATATATATTTAGTAGAATTAATTCAAATAGAATTTCAGATTAGTGTAAAAAATTTGAAAAATTGTATACGAAAAAGTAAGCAATTTTAGATTATGATATCAGTAAAATTTTACAAAATGAGTCATGGGGGATTATCTTAGACAGAGGTATCTGTGAAAGACATATTTGAATTATTTATTCATTTAAGTCAACTTGAAAAACATTCTAAAAAACTGCTCACGTTCGATGTCTGTATCATTTTTCTATATATATATATGGAAAAAATGAGTGAGTTCTTAGTTTTCCTATTTTGTATAAAAATTGATCCGATAGTTTTGCTCTTAAAGTTTATCAAGTTGCTTCACTATAAAAACGCATCTCTCCGAATTAGCTATGGAACAATTTTGTACAATTTTACCCAGGGGCTCAACGGTTGAAGGGTTAAATATATTTCTTATGTATAATTTTTATCCATTTCGATTCGGTTAAGCCAAATTCGAATTCGTATATTAATATTCTCCCTGTTATAAGCGTATGTTTGATTTACAACCTATTTTTTTTAAGAATCACTGTGAGGCATCATTAACTAACTATTATTAATTTAAATTGTACGTGAAAATAACTACACTGCTTCTTATGTTTATCATAATTACATTGCTATTGTAAATTATAGTGTTACTGAACAACAACAAAATGGTGGCAAATTACTTTATACCAAGTAGAGTAAAAGGACATCAACAGGGTGTTTTACTGCATCACTTTGATCTAAAGTAGTTGCTACTAAATTCACTGTTAAGATGCACGTAAAATTTTAGTGCAGAATTTTCAAAAAAAAAAAAAATTAATTAAAAATATTTATTATTTTCATAGAGTCCTTGGCATCGCAATTTCGAGCGAGCCCAAGGACATGTAAGAGCCAAAGTTGTATGAATCGCCCATGGCCTACTTTACTTTCTAGACAAGCTTGAACCCATAGATATAAATTTGGGTGGTCTTCAAGCCGTTGCCGGGGTTTGAACACCGATCTAATATATCAACATCTGGGTGCCTTTATGGCCAGATACAATTATGCGGATGTGTTATTGTCACCGTCATGAGCGCTTGCGGTTACATACGCGCAAAAGTCTAACTAATTTTGAAATTTCTAATTTTTAAACTAGTTGCGAGCTAGTGTGAGTACTTATTATATGTTTATTTTCTCGTGACTTGCACTCTTGGGAGAAAAAAAAATAATATACAAAATTTTATTGAGATTTTCATTTCAATAAAAAAAATACATAATCTCTATAAAAAAAAAACTAATCAAAAATGCGTAATAGTATATTAAGGAAACTCCTCAGGAGTCGTGAGATCAGTTTATACAAAAATAGTATCAATGTATTCATATTTGAAGTTGATCTTCAGGTCTTATACGTTAGCGGTGAAATCAGGAATCATACGGTCCTTAAAGTTTTTAAAAAAGCGGTGGTAAAAGTAGGAAAATACGATGTATTTTAATAAGTAAATATTCTTCACTGCGCTAAATACTTCAGAACAAAAAAAAATGTGAAATATCGAATTTCAAAGTCGTAATTTTAAAGTAAAAGCTATTAAATTTTCATAGTATCTAAACTCCTCTTTAAATTTTCTGAGGTTAAAAATACTGTGTAAAGTTTGGAATGCTAGAGAATAATAGAAAAATAGCATTCCTCTCTAAAAGTTCTGAAATATTTCTTAGTAGTATTACATGTACCCATGCTTGTTAGGCTTAGTTATAAAATAGTCATAAATTATAAAATTTATGAATCATGAAAGTTTGGTAAATTTCAAACTAACGTTGAGTAAAGAAAACTAATTATCTCATACAGATAGTTTATTTTCATAAATCAAAACTTATTATTTTACTGGGACAAAATTTTTGAAATATTATTTCAATATTCATATAAATTGAGTTTTCTTTATGCACATTTTAATTTATTTAGTTTTGATAACAGGTAGTCGGAAAAGTGTTCAAGTTAAAATTATTACTGAATAGATGAGAAACATCATCAATCATTTTTCACTTGATCTAAAAAATAATCACCATTTAATAAGTTCTAATCTAAAAGTGGTCCATATTATATTTTTTCTTACCGTATGGCACGTTTATTTTAAGTGTTAGTTTAAAAACAAAATATTGATAATAAATTTAATTTCTTTCGATATACGTCTAAACTTCTACGTCCAAAATTCACATAAAAAACAAAATGATTTTGCAGACAAAAGTATTTAAAATAATGAGATTTATGCTTATAAAACGAATTAACAGTCAAAAATATTTTTGGGGATAAAAATGTTCTTGTTTGGAAAAGAGATGTTCGTTTTAATCAGGCTACAAAATATGGATTATTAAAATACTATAAAGATCTGACTTTAATTATAAACACCTTTTTTGTATATTTATTTATTTTTCTCAAAACATAAATCATAAATATCATTTTAATAAACTAAAATAGTAAATTTTTGAATTATTGCCTTTATAACATAACTTTTTCATCCTAATTTTAGGTGGTTTGTTTCGGATAACGAATCGGTTGCTAGAGACTTCCCAACATCATCAGAAGCCTTTGAAAGACTTTATGCTAATGGGATGCCTGCTATAGGACCTGTTGCCACTCCTCCTCCTGACGATAATTACATTGCACAGTCCACCGGAACTTCGAAGATACTTCCAGATACTGTGGGTAATTTAGATTCTGGTGTTTTCGTTCTAACCAAAGGACCAAACAACCAGTTTATAACAGAGCGATGGATACCAGTGCAAGTACCAGCTTCAAAAACAATTGATATTGTTAATCCTGGAGAAAACCCCACTATAGTACCTGGAAACTTACCGTCAGCAGTACCAGTAAAAGGCTTTCCTAAAAGTCAAGGAGTCCCCGCTGATAATTTAAATATAGGTCAACAAGTATGGATTCGTGTACCGGCATCTGCAGCGTTACAGAAAGGATATGCGAATGTGCCTACAGTAGTCGATAACATGCCTGAAGTTAAAGAAGTTGTAGACGTTATTCAGCCAAGCATTAAACAAAACATTCAACCTCAACTTGTTAAAGGCTTCCCAACTTTTCCCTCTGCTCCACCACAATCTCCTGCAATGGTTATAAATAAATCACCTATCAATGCGATTCCACCACCTCCATCTACAATTGTAACGAATAAATCCCCATCCTTTGTAGTTCCACCTCCTCCCCCTCCAATAATGAAAAGCATAGATATCGGAAATGCCAAAGGTACGGTTATGGTAAACCCAACAGTTTCAACTATTGTAGATAAAGGAGGCTTCGTGGGTGGGAAGGGTACAGTTGCTCAACAAGTAAAACATATTTGGATACCAACTTCACAAAAAACTGGAAATTTCATAACTGTTCCTGCTGGAGGTGCAATTAATGAAAACCAGCCAATCATATCAAAAGGTTTGCCTCCAGATGCAGTGCCACCAATGTCAGTTTCAGAAACGTGGGTCCTTAAAGATGATGGAGTTCTTCCGAGATTTGAACAGCAAAAAACATTATTTCCTGTACAGAATGTAGGTAAAGAAAAAACCATTGTTGCAGACCCACCAGTCTTTGTTGATTCACCAAAGGGTGTACCAACAATCGGTAAATCTGTTGATACGGTTATGACCCAAGATATTTGGCCACAGAAAACAGATATGATAGATGGTAAGACTTTAGTAAAGTCTGGATTACCACAGCAAGTTTTTCCCGTACAAAAATCCAATGGTGTCGTAGTCGAAAAAGCAGTTCAAATGCCTCCTCAAAATGTACAAAATGTTTTACCCATGACCAAAGTTGTACCTATGCTTCCACCCCAACCAAATCCTTTTATACCATCATCCCCAATGGCGACACTTGTAAAAGGTAAACCACCATGTCCAATTACACCTCAGACTGCAATAATGCAAGGAAAACCACTTCCATATCCAGCCTATTTACCCAACAGCGTTCAAAGACAGCCCATGGCACGAATTATTCGAATGAATCGTTATCCATTCGGATCATACTACGTTGTAAATCCAAGAATGAGACCAAACTTATACCCGCTTCCCAGGCAAGCAACAATAATTAAACAGGTGAATAATAGAATCGTCCGAATAATCCCTTCTTCTTCCCTACCTTTAACTATGCCGCGAAGAGTTACATTACCAATTCGTCAAATGGCTCTTCCAGTGACTGCAGGTAAAACAATGATGCCGATGTCAAGAATTTTATATCCACCTGTTCAAGCTGTTGGCAGAATAAGGTATGCTTTCCCGTGGGGTGGATATTTAAATGCCTTGCCAGCATACGGTAGGACTGCTTCACCTTCAAGGCCTGCAAAGCAAGTGGGAATAGAAAGTAGCTCTAGCTCTAGTTCATCAGAGAGTGCAGAAAGCAGAGAGGTTCCAGTCAAAAGAAAACCAAAAAAGGCAGAAAAACCCAAAGAAAAAATTAAAATTATCAAATTAGAAAGCGAAGAAGCACCCATAGAAAGCTTAGAAACGATTGAATCCATTGAACCAGAAAGTGAAATAGTAGTAGAACCAGAGCCTGAACTTGAGACAGCCGAATCAGTTGCATCTGAAACTGAAAGTGAAGCAGTTGAAGCGGATACTACTGAGGCGGCACCTGAGCCTGAAGCAGAAACAGAAGCTGAAGCAACAGATAGCTTAGATATAGCTGAAAGTCAATTCATTCACAATATTGCACCTAGGTCGTACTTAGATTTTAACTATGAAAATATTAAAAATTTGGGCCAACCTTATAGATTTGGTTATGAAAGGCGAGAAAGACCTAGCACGTTTCTAGCTCAAGAAACACCTGAATTAAATGGGAGTGTCTTAGGTAGATATACATACAAAGATGAAAATGGAATTTATCGCAACATTGCGTACGTTTCAGATGCTGACAGCTACAAAAGAGAACTTTTGAACAGTGAATCAAAACTAAGCAATCAGAAAAAAGTTGCAGAAAACCTTGGTAAGGAGCACAATACAGAGGTCTCGTCAAAACCATTAGAAAATGTTTCGGAATCTCCATTACCTTTTAATATAGCTTTTAATCTTCAAAGAGACTAAATATTACTTACCGTAACTGAAAAGTTTTTAATATTACAGACCACCATTACCGTTTAACATATAGTTGCAGACTACCATTAACTCTTACTCTAAATACATTAATGTTATTTTTAAAGATTGCCATTTTTTTAATAAAATAACAATAACTTTAAAAACGCTTATAACATTTTGAAAAAAAATTACATTTCATTGCTGATAGTTGTTGAATGCTCAACTTAGCTTTACACTGCCAAATAACCTTTTTTTACTGAGATCAACTGTTTTTTTTTTCTTATCAATGTTGCATTTGTTTGTACACATTATTTGTACGTAAAATGATGTACATCATACGAATTGAATAATCATTTGCATGTATTTTAAATATAATACAAATCATGTTCACAATAAATGTTATATTTTAAATTTTTTGTAGTACTATATTGAATTTTAACCATCTGATCTAGGTCAATCAAGAGGGAAAATACAAAGTAAATGTTATATTTAAAATAATATTTTGCAGTTTTATCATGAAATTATATTTATTTAACAGTTCCTACAACATGGAAAGTAGGTATAACAAGAAATTAAAAAAAAAAAAATTATGCTTCAATTTCTTTGGAACAACCACTAATAATTTTTATTATTTAAAAGTTACTTTTAATACTTAAAGTATTTAAGAGCTTCCAACTCAAAGATTTGAAGGAAATCTTTAATTTGTTCAACTCTTAGTTAAAGCAGAATGTTAAATAAAAATGAATATATATATATA